CGAGCGATCGCTGCAAGACGCCCAAAATGTCCCCCGAACGGCTCCAGAAACCTCCAAGATGCCCTCAGAAGCCCTGAAAAAGGCCGCCCAAAGAAGGCCAACAACAACAAAAACAGCCCCGTTCCCTAGGCACAAAAACCTACAATTTTAGCACATTCGCCTCTTGGGCCTTCAGAGCGTAGCAGACGCCCCAAGAGAACCCCAAAACAGCCCAAGACGCCGCCAAGAGGGCTCCAGACGGCCCAAGAAGGGCCCAAAATGGCCCAGGGCGCCCCTGGAAAGGCCCAAGAGGGCCCCAGGACGGGCCCAAGAGGCGCCTGAGAGGGCGCCAAAACGGCGGAAAAAGTGCCGAAGATGGCCCAAGAAACGCCGGGCAGGCCCCCAGAGGCCCCCAAGAGGCCTGAACAGGCACCAAGACGCTTCCAACTGGCCCCGAAAAGGCCCCCCGATGCCCCCTAACGGCCCCCAAGAAGAATCTCGAAAATGCATCCAACACGCCTCCTAGAGGCCCCCAAGCCGCCGCCAAGACTCCCTCCGAGAAGCCCAAAACCGGCCCCAATGCTTCCACAACGCTTACGGCTGAACAGAAACGCTGCAATAGAAAAGGTTCTTCCACGCTTTCACATCTTCTTCCGTCTTCGGTGTCCGTCACATCCATGATCTCACAGGGGCCCGCAGAGGATCGCGCGAAGGCCCCAGAGACTCTAAGAACACCGTGGTTCCCAGCAGAGACCGGTGATGCACAAGGCTCCACAAACAACTGCGACGCTGACAGCTCTAGCACACAACTTTTCAAATAAAGCGCTAAATCGGCGAAGTGCCAACCCAAAGAGGGCCAACGCCTGGCCCCAAAGAGGCTTTCAAACAACCGCCAAACATTTGCAACAACCGCCGAACATTTCCTCATCCTCGTCGTGTTCCTCCTTCTCCCCCCCCCCTCTTCCACTTCCCGCTTCCTCCTGCCCTTCCTCATCCTCAGCATGCTGCTGCTCCTGCCCCTCCCCCCCCCTCCACCTCATCATGATCCTCCTCCTCCTCCTCCTCCTCCTCCTCCTTATCCCACTCCATTGCCTCCATTCCCAATCCTCACCATCATCCTCACCGCTCGCCGTCGTCGCCGGTCATGACCGCCATCGTGCGCGTCCGGCAACAACTGAAACGTCCCAGATCGGCGGCGCTGGCCGGAGGCCACTACAACATCGCATGCTGCGGCCTTGCGGGCCTGGGGCGAGGAGACGCATGTTGTAACCCGCTGGGCGGTTTTCGAAAGTTTGCCGTGCGCACGCCATACACACATCTCCGCGCTGGCACGGTGGCGGAGTTCGCCGGACAGATGTGGAAGCTCAGTCTACAGCAGCCGCGAGGCTGAGGGGGCGCCGCGTTCTCCTGGCTCTTCAGGGTGCGATGAGCGCTTGGCCCGCGTAGTCTCGGACGCAACAAGACACGCCAACGCAGTCCCGAATGGAAAGGCCCCGAGCAAACTGGCAGGGCACGCCGCGCCGGGCACGCGCCACAGCGGGAGGTTCGTTCTCCTCGATGAGCCCTCCTCCGACCCCTCCCTCCCCCTCCATTGCCTCCCTTACGCCCCCCGCCCTGCCCCCTGGGCCCCCGCTCCCCCCCCGACCACCCCGTGGCCGATGGGGGACTTTCGGGTGAGGTCGGGCACGTTTTCCTGCAGGCGGATTTTGGAAGACAGAAGCCAAACAGTCAGCAAATATTCAGAAGTTGTGAAAATTAGAAAAGCCGTTCACTTTTTCCCTCTTTGTTATTTAAAGACGTCTATATAAAACCCAAACATCTATCTATCTATATCTCTCTATATATATTAGTATATATATATTTATATGTATATTCTTTATCGCTATTTTGGACCGTCCTCCTTTTGGGGGACAGGCCCGACTTCGCTTCAGGGGAGGGCCGGTTCCGGGGGGGGGGGGGGGGCAGAGAACGTCGGCGCGGGGACCCCTGGCGATGCCTCGCCGACAACTCGGCGAGGGAGGCCCCCCGCCCTCTGGCCGCATCCGGGGGGTGCTCCTGGGCAGCAGGGGCTCTCGGGCCCCCCATCGGCGATCCATGAGCGATGCTGCGCCGCGGGGGGAAGGGGATGAGGGGCAACGAGAGGGGGGGGGGGGCCGGGCTCAGGGGATGGCAACGTCGGCGTGGATATCTGGCGATGCCTCGCCGACAAATCGGCGAGAGAGGCACCCCCCCCTGGCGCATCCGAGTGTTCCTGGGCAGCGTGGGCTCTCGGGCCTCTATCAGCAGCCAGGCGAAAGCTGGCAAACCCGTGGCTGCTAAAACGGAGCTCCGGGAATTTGTCTTTGTCCTTCCGGGAAGCAGTCCGCTAATTGTTTGGCGCGGCTGAGTTTTATTCCAAGGGTCTGTTTTTTTCTTCGGGGAAAACCGTTTTAGGAGCCACGGATTTGCCAGCCCTCGCTCAGCTTCCGACCCTATCGGCGATCCATGAGCGACTGTGCGTCGATGCGTTCCCTCTCTGAGCATCCCGTCGTGGCCCCTGCCATCCCGGTGCGCGCGAGAATGTCTGCGACTGCTTCCAGAGCCGGTGTGATACGCCTCCCGATGCGGAGGAGCAGGAGCGAGGCGATCGCCGCCAGAAAGGACCCCCCCACGCGGCAGCATCGAGCATCTCGCTTGACGCCTTGAGCTCATCCCCCCTCCTAAGACTACACCCATTCGGATGCATCCCCCCTGATCCTATCCCCTCCCGACGTTGCTCCTAGATTCTTTTTTCCCCAACTATCCTGTGGTGTTGGATCCTCGTTTTGAAGAGACGGTCCCCGCGTCTCCTCCCGCTGCCTCCCCTCCCTCTCCCCATCATCAGCATCATCGCCACTATCATCACCCTTCACACGTTTCGTGGCCCCATAGGGAGCTCCACCCAAGGTCCCAATGGGGGTGGCCACATGCGTCCGCCACACCCAGTACAACGTTAGCTGGCCACTTCGGGAGCTCCACCTAAGGGCCCAGTGGGGGTGGCCACATGCGTCCGCCGCACCCAGTACTGCGTTTCGTGGCCCCATAGGCAGCCCCACCCAAGGTCCCCGTGGGGGTGGCCACATGCGTCCGCCACACCCAGAACAGCGTTTCGTGGTCCCATAAGGAGCTCCGCCCAGGGCCCCCGTGGGGGTGGCCACATGCGTCCGCCACACCCAGTACAGCGTTTCGTGGCCTCATAAGGACCTTTATATAAGGCCCCAATGGGGGTGGACACATGCGTCCGCCACACCCAGTACAGCGTTTCGTGGCCCCATAGGGAGCTCCACCAAGATCCCAGTGGGGGTGGCCACATGCGTCCGCCACACCCAATACAGCGTTCCGTGGTCCCATAGGGAGCTCCACCCAGGGCCCCCGTGGGGGTGGCCACATGCGTCCGCCACATCCAGTACAGCGTTTCGTGGCCCCATAAGGAGCTCCACCCAAGGTCCCAATGGAGGTGGCCACATGCGTCCGCCACACCCAGTAAAGCGTTCCGTGGCCTCAAAAGGACCTCCACGCAAGGCCCCAGTGGGGGTGGCCACATGCGTCCGTCACACCCAGTACAGCGTTTCGTGGCCCCATAGGGAGCTCTTTGCGGCCCCAATGGGGGTGGCCACATGCGTCCGCCACACCCAGTACAGCGTTTCGTGGCCCCAAAAGGAGCTCCCCACCCAAGGTCCCAGTGGGGGTGGCCACATGCGTCCGCCACACCCAGTACAGCGCTTCGTGGCCCCATAGGGAGCTCTACCAAAAAAAACCCGATGGCACCGCCCGCATGCGTCGTCCACCACCCAGTGCTGCAATTGTTCGCGGCCCCATTGATTGGGAACTCCACCGAGCCCCAGTGGCACAACCCGCATGCGTTCCCCCCCACCCAGTACAGCGTTCCGTGGCCCTGTAGGGAGCTCCAGTGGCCATCGAAGGCCCCAGTGGCAACGCCCGCATGCGTCCCCCCCTCCCGTGGTTCCATAAGGAGCTCCACCGAAGGTCCCAGTGGCACCGCCCGCATGCGTCGGCCACCATCCAGTGCAGCGTTTCGTGGCCCCGTAGGGGGCCCCACAAAAAAACCTCAGCGGCACCGCCCGCATGCGTTTCCCCCCAACCAATACAACGTTTCGTGGCCTCATCGGGAGCTCCAGCGAGGGGCACCGCCCGCATGCGTCAGCCACATCCAGGACAGCGTTTCGTGGCTCATAGGAAGCCCCACCGAAGGCCCCACTGGCACCGCCCGCATGCGTCTCCCCCACCCATTACGGCACGTCCCTCACGGGTTTCGTGGCCCCACAGGGAGTTCCCCCGAAAACGGCACCCACAACGCCTTACTCACAACTGCATCTGGTTGGGTCCTTCGCCAAGCTAATGTCTGTCTGTCTGTCTGTATGTATGTATATGCATATGCATATGCATATGCATATGCATATGCATGTGTATTTGTATATGTATATGCATATGTGTATATATATGTATGTACGTATAAACATATGTATATGTATATGTATATGTATATTTGTACGTATATGTATATGTATATGTATATGTATATGTCTATGTATAAATATGTGTGTATGTATGTATGTATGGATGGAAGGACGGATGGATGGATGTATGCAGAGATGACGATCTCACTCGATAGATCATCTTCGAGCCATAACAGCTTCGGCGGGGACACCCCGCTCCACTCAGTCCAGGCCTGCACGGGCCTTGCTCAGGGGACCTCTTAGGGCCCAAATCATGCACTAGGGCCTCTAGGGGCCTAACGCTCACGCCAGGGCCTCCTTGGGCTCTGGCCTACTATCTGGCCGCCTCGGGAGGGGCCGCACACTCACTGACGCCTGCGCGCCCCCACGGCGCCTCGTCGAGGCACGTCACCTCGCTCACCTTGCCATTGGCCGCAAGCTCGTTCTCACCCGTGGCTCGCCTCGGGCAACGCAATGAACCTCGGCGTCGTGTGCTTCCACTTGTACGTGCATGGCGATTGACTCGCCTTCTCCTCCGTCGCCGGCCTGTCCGTGAACTCCACCTTGTTGCTCAGCTCCTTTCTCCGATTCGGGGTATTCGTATGCTTTACCAGGTTTTGCTTCGTGGTGCTGTCCATCTTCGTCCACCACTTGCAAATCAAACACCCGAGCAGTGCTCCTGCCACGAACGTTGTCATCATCACGATCAGGATGATCATTGTCGTGTGGTCGTCGATCCAGTCCTGCAGCTTTGTAGCTTCCCAGATGGTAACTGCACCCTGGTCGAGATCTCGCACTGCACATTCACTCGCCGTGGTCGCACCGCCCGTCACTCCTTGCGCGAGCAGTGTCGCCAACAAACCTTGCTTAGCCCAGGCGCTCGTTGTCACCGAGCACGCTTCCAGCTCCTTATGCTTGTCCATCTCGCTGCAGTCCATGATGCCAGCAAGTTCTCGCAGGTGCTCGAACCGCTCCGTGGTATGCGCCTTGGTCCCTAGGTCGGCCACGTTCTTTGTTCCACTCTCCTTCTTGATGATCAGTCCGTGGACCTTTCGCTCCTGCTGGATCCACAGCGCCCGAACGTCCAGGTGCTTTGCCTTTCCGACGCCCTCGCGGTTGATCATCGCCTTCGCGGCGCTGCTGTCGATCCCGAGCTCCCAGGTCACCTTGTAGCCCAACCACTCTAGCATGTTCTTCACCAGCTTGCCGGCCATCACCACCGAGGTCGCGCCGTAGAGCTCCGCCTCACCTGAGGATGTGCTCTGAACTCCTTGCCTCCTTGCGAACGCTGCAAAATGCACTCCGCCCAGCTTTGTGATCCCACAGGTCATCGCACGCCTCGTCTGCTTGCACGTCGCGAAATCCGTGTCTGTGAACAACTGCAGCTTCACTTCTCCAGGCTTGCTCCCAGTTGGCTTTTCCATCAGCACTCCATGCGTCTTTGTCCCCTTCAGGTACCTCACCAGCTTCACCAGTCGCTTCCTGTCAAACTCCGTCGGCTGACTCAGGTTCCTGGTCAGCAGCTGCGCGTCCCGCTGGATGTCCGCTCTGTCGGGCGAGATGTAGAGCGCGATCCCGACTCCTGTGCGAAACTTCGCCCTCTCGATCTCGTCCAATTCAGGACTCCATGTCGGGTCCTCCTCAGTCAAGCTTGGTACCCTCGTCGGCTTGGCCTTCTCCATGCCCATTGCGTAGATCAGGTCGTCGATGTGCTTCACGTTCGGCCTCAGCATGATGTTGCCGTTCATGAGCCTCAGCCTGTCCCGCTTCAGGTGCGAGTAGCGTCCCTGCCTGATGACATCCGTCGCTTTCAGGTCGAACACCTCCCGCAGCCGCTTGATGATCCCCTCCAGGCTGCTGATTGGACCCTCCCCGTGGAAGTCGTCCATGTGCACCTCGATCAGGATCTTCTTCTCTCTGTGGTAGTAGAACTGCGGCTGACACTCACTCCTGTCGAAACCCTCTCCCTTCAGGGTCTTCGCCGCCTTGTCCACCCAGCCAGCGCCTGCCACGCGCTGCCCAGGTAGCATCTTGTTGAGCGCCCAAACGATGTCGGTCGGTCTGCCCATCTCCGCCAAGATCGCCAGATACTCAGCAGGTGGCTCCACACAAACCTTCTCAGTCTGGTCCGCTTGGTAGTACGCCTTCACGCAATCCGCGATGAAGGTCCCGTGGTTCTCCTCTTTGATGCTGACGAAGTCCACCAGCCTGCTCGTCTGTGCCGATGAGCTCGTTGCGAACACGTCGTCACGCTGCTCCATCCACTTGAACTCCTGCGCCAATAACCGCCACTTGCAGATACCTCCTCGCATCTGCGGCTCCCAGCGCGCCCTGATCCTCTTGAACTCACCGCTCTCGCTCCTCGGGACGTCCCTGTGCACCCCGTAGTGTGCCAGCACTTCTAGTGCCTCGCGCTTGCCCTTGAGCTCCACCGCGGGCTCCAGTCCGCTGACCGTCATGTAGCAGTCGGTGCCCATCCGTTCCAGGATGCTGTAGTCGATGGGGTCGTCGAGCGAGATGGCGTCCACGTGCTTCGCACGCTTGCCTGGTGCGCCGAAGTCTTCAGCGTCGGCAGGTCGGACAAGACCTCGAGGTGTCATCGGCGCATCCGCATCCGTCGTGCTCTTCTCCTCTGGTCTCGCTGCCGCTGCCGCTCCAGGTCCCGCGGGCGCCGCCGATGGCCCCGCGCTCGCTGCTGCAGCCGGCTGCGCCCCCTGCTCGGGCGCCCCCTGGGGTGGCGCGGCCTCGCGCGCTGCCTCCTGCGCCTCGGTCTTCGCCCTCTGCTCCGCCGCCGTCAAGACGATCGTGGGCATCGGCCTCTGAAGCCTGGGAAGTAGCTCGCACGGCTTGGCGCTCCTCGCGTCCCAGGGCAGGGCCTTCACTGCCTTCATCAGCTTGTCATCTGCCCGCAATGCTGGCCCCAGCCGCCTGCGTGTTCTTGCGCGGTGCCAGCCCGCTGGCGTTAAGAACAAGTGGTCGTCGCTCTCCTTGTGCTTCCCGATCCAGATGCCCATCGCGATACTCGACTCGCCCTTGTGCTTCAGGGACGTAGCCGTGATCTGCCTCGTGTGGGAGATCGGGGTCTTGAAGAGAGCCGTCTCGCCAAAGGGGATAACCTCTCCGTTGTAGGTCACTCCGTAGGCTGCCTGATGGGACGTCCTCTCATCGGCTCGTGGTCGGTGCGTAGACGTAGCCCAGCTAACGTACCGTGTAAGCCAGCACCAGATCGGTGCGTCCGCTGTGATCTTCATGCCATAGCGCTTCTCCAGGTCGAATTTGTACGTCCTCACCTTCGCCTAAAAACCATCTGATCGGAGCCTCAATCGCGCCCATGCTCTGGCTGTCTTTCAGGTTCCCACGCTTCTCTTCTAGCTTGATGCTCTTGCTCAGCCTCTTCCGCGCCTCCTCCACCAGGTTCACGATCGTGGGCTCGCCGTCCGTCTTGATGTCCGCCGTCGTGAGATGCATGCCCTCAATGAAGCTGCTCACGCTGGCTATTGCGTAGTCCGTGACCGCCTTGGTGGGCATCGAGACCGCATAGAACATCAGCGTGTCCCTGTCTGCCATCACGAGCGTCGTCGCGAAGATGTCCGCCGCTGGCGGCTCCTCATCTCCGATCTCCGCCCAGTCGCCGTTGGTCTTCAGGTAGCAGAAGTCCAGGGTGATCTGCGCCTTCCCAGTGTCCTTCTGGTCGAACGCGAGGGTCTTGTGCGGCCTGGTCGTCTCGTTCCCCCGCGCGCAGGCCTCGCACCACGGCGCTCTCGTGAGGTGCAGCAGTTCATGAGCTGCTCGTTCTTCATCCGTGGGCGCTGCTGGCCCTGCTACTTCTCGCGGTGCTATCGTGGGTCCTCCTTGAACGGACTCCTCGTGCCTGCGCTCCAACTCCTTCATCTTCAGGTGGTGTGCCGTGAGCCTCCGCTCCGCATCGCTGAGTCTGGCCCGCAGCTCGTCCTTTCTGCCGTAGATTGGCTGGCCCATCTCCTTGAGCCTTGCCCGCATGTCCTCCGCGTGGCTGGAAGGGTGCAGGACGATCTCCTGCCCTTCGCGTAGCACCACGGGATGTCGAGCCAGTCGCTCTCTTCCCGCGCTCTCAGCTGCTCCGCCTCGCTCTGGAGCCGAGGCGGCAGCCGCAGGTGCAGCCGGTGCCGCTGTCGCTGCTCCGCTGCCCGCAGCCCCAGGCGTCGGCGCGAACGCCTCCTCCTGCTGCTCATTCGCGTTCACGCTGGCCGCGAACTCCTTCGCCTCCGTAGCTGTCTTGAAGGTCTTCGCGTTGAATCCCAGCGTGTTGTTCTTCCTGGTGAGCGGGATGCCCTTGCTGAGGTCGCCGCCAGGGTACATGCACATGCCCGTCTTCGCGCTCAGCCAGAACTCGGCACCCTTATCCATCGCCTCCAGCAGCGAGAGGATTGGCTTCGATACCGTGTCACCTAGCCTGAAATCTGCTTTCAGCAACTTCAGCTGCTCGCACTCGTCAGTAACCGCCATCGGCACCGTCGCAATGGAGTCCATCTTGATCTCGTTGCGCTGCGCGTCCAGCAGCCTCGGGCCGTGATCCTCTCCTCTCCTGCATCCTTCGCCGAAGAAGGTCGGCCCCACGTGGCAGTCACTCGCGGTGTCCAACGTGATGAAGGTCGTCTCCACGAGCTCCATGCCGCAGCACTCCGTCTCGGGATCCTCCACCTCCATCGCCATGCAGTAGAGCTGTTCGTCGTCGCAGATCCCGCACTCGTACTCCGCGTACTCGATCTTGGCCACCGTCTTCGGGTCCGTGCTCTCCTGCGCAGTGGCCGCGTTGCCTTTGGACCTCTCATCGGCGATTCGCTTCTTGCAGTCTGCCTTCTTGTGGCCCGTCTTATGGCAATAGTCGCACTTCCCCGAGAAGGTGCAGCCGTCCTTGCCCTTGCCTTTGGCATCCTTTCCGCCCTTGGTTCACGCGGCTGCTCCTCGACCTTTTCCGTCGCCCTTCTGCTTCCCTTTGTCACGCCAGAAGCAGTCGCGGGCCGTGTGACTTGGCTTGTGGCAGATCTGGCACTTGTCCTTGCCGTCCTTGCCTTTGCCCTTGGATATCGCGTCGACGTCCATGTCGTTGCTCCCCTTGTTCGCTGTCGGAGGTCGCGAGACCACTCCACTTTGGCCGATCACCGCCTCGAATATGCAGTTCCTCATCTGTGTGATGTCGCTGCGCACCTCGCGCTGCGCCGAGCGTAGCATGACCTTCACTTCCTCTGGTGCGTGGGCCATGATCGTGCTCGTCTTCATATTCTGCGTGACTTGCTCTCCGGTCGCGCGCTCGTGCCTTGAGATCAACTCGCCCCAAGCGATCAGCACCTCCGTGAAGCGCTCCCTCCCATCGCGATCCTTCCACCATGTCGGCGTGAGGATCTGCTGGAGCATCTGGCCGTGCTCCTCATTCAGTCGCGGCCTGTACTCCCTGTACAGCCTTCTCATTGCCTCGAAGCCGTCGCCTCGCGGGCAGAGCTTCACGACGCTCTGCGCCGTGCCTTTCGTAGTGCTTGCCAGCAGGTGGTACAAGCTCCTCCCTACCAGCACTCCCTGCTCGCCGAGGTCGTCCGCGGTCAGCGGCTCCTCAGCGCCCCTTGATCGTTCCAGGCCCGCCGTCCAGCCCAGCAGGCCACAGTATGACTCGAACGGGAAGATCCAATCCTCGAAGTCTTCCCTCTTGCCTGAGAACGTCGGCACCTTGCCGATCCCACGTGAGTCTAGCAGCTGCACCCCAGCTGCTCCATTGTCGGCCGCCATGGCGCGCTGGCGCCACTGGCCTGAAGGGTAGGTTCAGGCAACCTCACGAACTGTCACCATGCAGAGATGACGATCTCACTCGATAGATCATCTTCGAGCCATAACAGCTTCGGCGGGGACACCCCGCTCCACTCAGTCCAGGCCTGCACGGGCCTTGCTCAGGGGACCTCTTAGGGCCCAAATCATGCAGTAGGGCCTCTAGGGGCCTAACGCTCACGCCAGGGCCTCCTTGGGCTCTGGCCTACTATCTGGCCGCCTCGGGAGGGGCCGTACACTCACTGACGCCTGCAATGTATGTATGTCGGTATGTCTGTATGTATGTATGCATATATGCATGCATGTATGTATGTATGTATGTATGTATGTATGTACGTATGTACGTATGTATGTATACAACGAGATATGAATATACAAATATGTATGTATACATACCAATACGGGGTCCCTGGAAGGCTAAACCCTTTGCCCAGGGCTGGTTTTCCATCTCGAGTCGCTTCTTGACGGCCCCGAGGCCTGTCGAGGGCCCCGAGAGGTCGCAATCTCGCGTCGTGACCTTTCCACGACGCGAGCGGATGTCTAACTCTACAACCCCTTGGCGGGAGCCGACCGACGGATGGCCCGGCCACAACGTGACGGCGCACCTCCCAGGCGCCTGCCACCGTGGACCCGCCGCGCACGGCCCTGAGATCCGACGACGCGAACACGCTGCCATATCGAAGCACCACGACTGGAGCCCCAGGAGACCCCACCCTCCTGCTCCACTCGGGGGCGCGCAGACATGGCTTGGCGACCCGTGGATCTGGCGCGCGGTCGCCGAGTCCACGGATCGGGGGAGGCGCCCTCCTCAGAGTGCGGCCGGTGCCGCCTCGCTCGGCGGCGGAAGTCCGCGACGCCCCGCGGCAGCGGGGCCCGTCGCCAAGCCACGCCCCCGTGGGCCATGCTTGCGATCGCCTGCTCCGCTCGCGTCGGGCGGCGCGCCGAGCCGAGAGGGCCCCGGGGCCCGAGGCCGGGCGAGCACGCCGGGCTCGGCACCAAACCAGTGAGGCGCCGAGATCCTGCTCGGTTGTTTTGCCCACGGTTTTTTTTGCCGATCGGCGCGGGCCCTCGCAACGGCCCCCCCCCCTCGTCCCCAGAGGGCAGAACGTCCACCCCGAGGACAGCCACCCCGCCGCGCGAGAAGCCGCGTAGTAGCACACGCACCCGCAGAGAAGGAATCAAGCAGGGCGGGGCTGCGTAGGAAACGCCCAGGGCCGGCCGTTCAGCAAACGCCAGTTGTCCGGTCGGGGTGGTTTTTCCTCCCTTGACTCCCCCCCCCCCCCCCGTGGAGTAGATCTTGGCTGTTTCTGGCGCTTGTTTCGAGCAGGTGGAGTCCCCTCCATAGGACGCACGCACGGTCCCAAACAGTCGCACGAAGTAGAAGTCCGGGGCCAGACCCCCCCCCCTCCCCCCCCTTCCGCCCAACGTCGAAACGCCGAATACAAGAAACGCTCACTTCGATCGAACCACTCAGGTCATGGTAACGATAAGACCTGGGATTTAGAAAAGCGGGCCCGGATTTAGAACATCCATTTTTGAATTTAATAAGCCGGCTTCTGCATTTGCTAGATGATGTCCTGTCTTGTCTTGATCAGGCGGCGTAGTTCAATAGATCCGCTTTTCGCTTTAGCAAATCATCGTTTTCTCCACAGTGTGTGTTAAGAGTGCGCGTTCATTACGTACCATGACCTGTTGTTAGTAGCCAGTCATGAAGGGGCCCTGGGACACACAAGTAAATACACACGCAAATAGCAGGAGTCCCCTATATCTTCCCATCTTTGCTTTGTTCTCTCGTCTTCCACCCCCCCCACTGCCCATCTTCTCCCATATCTTTTTCCTGGGCATCGACGACTCCTTGTGTGTGTGTGTGTTTTCCCCTCCGGAAGTGACACCTCTCGGGAGGGGAAAAAACACACAGACACAATTCATCGTCGATTCCTAAGAAAATAGGGGAAACTATGGGAGGTGGGGGGGAAGACTAACAAAAACTCCAGAAAATATAGAAAAAAGGGGGGATCTTTTTATTTGTGTGTATTTATTTATGTGTCCCAGGGCCCCTTCAACATCTCAGGGTGCACCTGCTGGGCGCGACGGGGGGCGCAGGCCGCCCGCCTCTTCTCTCGGGGCGGAGAGGCCGCGGCACCGCGCGCGGCCCTCGTCGCCGGCGGCCCCCCCGCGGGGGGGGCCCTCCCGCGCCGGCGGCGGCGCGGGCAGGGCGCAGCCCGCTGGCCGCCGCGCCGCCGCGCCGCGGGGGTGGAGGGGACTCGGGGGCGGCCAAGAGTGAAGGGGCCCTGGGACACACAAGTAAATACATACAAATAAGAAGATTCCCCATCTTTTCCCATGTTTTCTGGGTTTCTGTCTTCCCTCCCACTTCCCATGTTTTCCCTTATATTTTCCTGGGAGTCGGTGATTAATTGTGTCTGTGTGTTTTTTCCCCTCCCGAAAGAGGGGGGCCGCCCAAGAGAGGGGGGGGGTGCAAATCATGGCCGGGGGCACGTGCCGCGGCCCAGCGTGGGGGCCAGGGACGCCATGAGATAAGAAGGGGCGCCATGGAATCTGGGGAAACACCATGTGGCCCGCGCCATGACATCCCCCCCCCCCTAGTCACTACAATGCATCGCGCACCCTGTCGGGATCATTGCCCTGCTCGACATCCGACTGTGCGAGTAGAGAGGGGACCTACGCCATGGTGAGGGATGGGAGGGAGGGGTAGGATGTCAGATACGACGCGAGCGCACCTAGCTTGTCATCACCCCCCCCTAGCCCCCTGACCTTCCAGGAGGGCTAAAAAATAGCACCCGACTTAGAAATCTATCCCAAAGCTGTTCTACGTCTTGGTGTTGGGCTGTTTTTCGCTCAGCTTTTCAGGCTTCGAGGTCTCCAGTGCTAAACAAAAACTAGCTCCCTGGAAGGTCAGGGTCATCGCCCCCCTCTTTGCCGCCCCCGAGGGACGAGGGGCAACGAGGAGGAGGAGGAGGAGGAGGAGGAGGAGGAGGAGGAGGAGGAGGAGGAGGAGGAGGAGGAGGAGGAGGAGGAGGAGGAGAAGGAGAAGGGGGACGAGGGGCAACGAGAAGGGGTCACGGGGGGGGCAGCGTCGACCTGGAGTCGGCGACGCCTCGCCGGCGGCTCGGCGGGGGGCCCCCGCGGCACCCCGTCGGCGCTCCCAGGGGGGCCATCAGAGGTCGAGGTGGTCGACGCCCTGCCTCCGGGGCCTGCCCTCGCCGTCGCTCGGACGCCCAGTCCCTGTGCTTTTTTTTGTGTCGGTGTCGTGCGCGGCTTTTTCCGCCGCGCGATCCAGGAGGCTCCTCGACGGTCCTCGCCGAAGGAAAACATGATCAAGGACAAAAAAAAGCACACGGCCGAGCGATGCCAAACGATCGAGGAAGAAAGTGCACACGTCCGAGCGATGCCAAGGCTGCCCCCCCTTCTCCTCGTGGCCCCCCGGAGGGGCTGGCCTTCCCGTGCGGCTCGGCTCGAGCTCGCGGGAGGCCCAGGCCTGCCCCCCCTCCTCGTGGCCCTCGGAGGGGCTGGCCTTCCCCGCGCGGCTCGGCGCGAGCTCGCGGGAGAGGCCCGCCGCCGGCGCGGGGCGCGCGGGGGCACCTCTGCGGCGGGCCGCGCTCGGGAGGCGCAGGCAGGCCCAGGACGTGCGCCCGCGCTGTACAGTCGGGGCGTTGACCAAAGGAACCCTAAATAAGGAACGAGGCCCCTTTTTTCCATAAGTTAACCTTCGATTTCCTGTCGAAAACATGACGAAAACCTGAGGCAAGCTGTGAAACACTTGAGGAACGCGGAGCCCCTCCCCAACGAAAAGGGTTCCTTCTTCAAGACCCCTACTGTAAGATCAGGGCGGGAGGTTTTTGGACGTCTTCGGCCTCCTCCGGCCCTCTCTGGGCCTCGGGGCCGTCAGCAACGCCTCGGGATGAGAAGTCGGCCTTGAAGAAAAGGTTGGGATCTCTGGGGGTCGCGCGTTGAAATGAGCCTGGCGAAGGGCCCTACCATTTGCAGTTGCGAGTGCCGTCGTTGTGAGTATCGCCTTCAGTGGGGACCCCGTACGGGGCCACGAAACGCGTGAGGCGTGTGCCGACATGGGTGGGGCTGCCGCTTGCGAGCATGGCCACTGGGGCCTTCGGTGGAGCTCCTCATGGGGCCACAAAGCGCGTGAGGGGTGTGCCAAACTATGTGGGGCGCCAGCATGCGAACATGGCCACCAGGGCCTTCGGTGGAGCGGCCACGAAACGTGTGAGGGGCGTGCCGAGATTAACGGGGCGGACGCCTGCGGACTGCGCCGCTGGGACCTTCGGTGGAGCTCCCTGCGGGGCCACGAAACGCGTGAGGGGTGTGTCGAAATGGGTGCGGCGGACGCATGTGGGCCCTGGAGCTCGCATACAGTCGGGGCATTGGCCCAAGGAACCCTAAATAAGGAACGAGGCCCCTTTTCCCCATCCGTTAAAGTTCGACATCCGATCGAAAACCAGAGGAAAACCTGAGGCAAGCTGTGAGACACTTAAGGAACGCGGAGCCCCTCCCCAACCAAAAGGGTTCCTTCTTCAGGGCCCCGACTGTATGGACTGTGCAGCTTGGGCCTTCGGTGAAGCCCCTTGTGGGGTCACGAAACGCGTGAAGAGTGTGCCGAAGGGAGGCGGGGGGACGCATATAGACCGTGCCACTGGGGCCGGGGCTACGAAGCGCCGGACGGCTGTGCCGAAATGGAGCGGCGGGACGCATGTGGACTGTGCCAATGGTGGGCCCTTCGGTGGAACTCACTATGGGGCCACGAGACGTGTTAGGGGTGAGCCGAAATTGGGCAGGGGGATACATGTGGACTGTGCCACTGGGGCCTTCGCTGGAGCTCCCTATGGGGCCACGAAGCGGTGTACCGGGTGGGCGGGACGCATGTGGACTGTGCCACTGGGACCTCCGGTGGAGCTCCCGACGGGGCCACGAAGCGCTGTACTGGGCTGGGTGTGGCGCATGTGCACTGTGCCACTGCAGCCTTCGGTGGAGCTGCCTATGGGGCCACGAACCGTGTGAGGGGTGTGCCGAAACGGTTGACATGCGGAGGGCAGCGGCAGGGATGGGAAGAGGGAGGGGGGGGAGGAGGAGGGAGTGAGCGAGGAACCCAGGGCGCTGTCTCTTCAAAACGAGGACCCAGCACCGCAGGATGGTAGGGACAAAGTCAGGGCATCGCTTGCGAACCTCCTGCTGCTCCTCCTCCTCCTCCTCTTCCCTTCCTCCTCCTCCTCCCTTCCTCCTCCTCCTCCTCCGCCTCCTCCTGCTCCTCCTCCTCCTCCTCCTCCTCCTTCTCCTCCTCTCCCTCTTCCTCCTCCTCCTCCGCCTCCTCCTGCTCCTCCTCCTCCTCCTCCGCCTCCTCCTGCTCCTCCTCCTCCTCCTCCTCCCTCCTCCTCCTCTCTCCTCCTCCTCCTCTCCCTCTTCCTCCTCCTCCTCCTCCTCCTCCTCCTCCTCCTCCTCTCCCACTTCCTGTGCTGAGGTGCCACCCGGGGGAGGAGCATCGCGAGACGGGGAAGCACGGCGGGGCTGGCGCCGTTTCCAGTGCTCGCTGGGCTGCTCGCGAGCTCGGCTTCGTGCCGGGAGCGCGCCCTCAGCGAGGCGCTGCAAGAGCCGGAGCGGGCGGCCCTTGCTGAGGCGGCACGCTGCGTGTGCGCACGCGCGAACGGCGCGCCGCACGGCAGGATTGCCAGGGTCCAGATCACGCCAGCGCGGCCGTCCGTGGCTGTGAGGAGTGCGCTTTGGTCAGTCGCGGCACTGTAGCAGTCCACGACTGTCACGACGAGCGTAACCGTCGCCCATGAGGCATCTTCTCTGGCCTGGGCGGCAGCAGCGGCGGGCCGCAGCGGAGCGCCGCGGTGGTGGCCAGGCCGAAGTCGGCGCAGGCGGCCGCGAGTAGGTTCTGCACAGAGGCCTCTGACGGTAGTGTCTACAGAGACCCAGGGGCGCACAAATAAACATATATTCAAATCCCAGGATTACCCATCTGTTACCATATTTTCTGTTTTTTCGTCTCCCCCCCACACTTCCGATATTTTCCTATATCTTCCTCGGGGTCGACGATACATTGTGTCTGTATGTTTTTTCCCCTCCTGAGTGTCTCTTGTTCGCTCCCTGGCTGCAGCTGGATCGACAGGCCCCTGGCGCGCACGGCGACCACGTGGAAGCTGGCCGTGGGGCCGAGCCCCAGGAGCCCGCCGGCGCACCGGAGCGTGGCCCACGGCGGCCCCTCGGTGCCCAGGACCACGCCGCAGACACAGGCAGATGCCGCGTGGGTTGAGAGCAGCTTTTGCCGAGAGGACCGCTGGCCAGGAAATCCATGTCGAGGCAAGGGCTATGCCGCTCAGAGTGGTAGCCCACCGGATGACTCGACTTCCCGAGCTCGCTCCCCCTCTGCAAATCAGATCTCCGATAGTCGTCGCCGATCGTCGTCAAGATCCACGCCCCGGACCACTCCGCGTCGTCGCCCCGCAGCGGCAGGAGCGGATGGCCTGCAAGGGCCGACGAGAGGCGGGCAGCAAGGCCCCCCCCCCCTTGTGAGGACCACGCCGCCGCGTGTGAGCGTCGCCTGCGCGAGCTGTTGCTGCCGGCCGCCTTCGGCGCGGAGCTCGCCAGCCCTGGCGCGCCGCCGCCGCCGCGCCTCGCCGGCGGCCGAAATCCGCACCCTCCGCCTTCGAGGAGGAGGGCGAAGGGTTATTGGCAACAAGAGGAGGGGGAGAAGGAGGAGGAGGAGTGAGGAGGAGGAGGAGGAGGAGGAGGAGGAGGAGGAGGAGGAGGAGGAGGAGGAGGAGGAGGAGGAGGACCAGTGTAAACCCAAGAGTCACCAACGATGTTGGAATAAACCCTCCCCCCATCATATGCCCATACAACGGTTCACTTCCACAGAGGGACTGGCCTCATTGCAAGACAACCGTTTGAAGACCCTAAAGCATACCAGAACATTATTCTCGGTATTCCAACGCCACGGATGAACCTGTCTGTTGCGTCTTGACGATCTGGAATGGTGCCAGAACGCCATTCCTGGGAGCTCAACTCCGCGAATCATCGTACCTGTTGCGCCCTCAAAATCGCGAATCCTTCCAAAACACCATTTCTGGTACGTCGATCATGGGAATCCGTGAAGCTCCTGCAATTTTGTATCAAGAATGTGCGCGGCGCTACAACGAGAATCACTTTTTGAAAAGGACCCGCCCTCAATCCGTGAAGCTCTTGAATTTTTTAATTAGCCTGGCGAAAGACGCAACCATATGCAGTTGTGAACACCGTCGTCGTATGCGCCGCATTAGGAGGAGCTCCCTATGGGGCTACCAAGCGTGTGAGGGGTGTGTCAAAATGGGTGCGGTGGCCGCATGCGAACGCTGGCTGGCATATGGGCCTTCGGTGGGGGTTCCTGAGGGGCCACGAAAAGTCTGAGAGGTGTGTCAAAATGGGTGCGGTGGCCGCATGCGAACGCTGGCATTGTGGGCCTTCGGTGGGGCTCCCTGAGGGGCCACGAAACGTGTGAGGGGTGTGCCAAAATGGGTGCGGTGGCCGCATGCGAACGCTGGCATTTGGGCCTTCGGTGGGGCTCCCTATGGAGCCGCGAAGCGTTTGAGGGGTGTGCCAAAATGGGTGCGGTGGCCGCATGCGAACGCTGGCATTTGGGCCTTCGGTGGGGCTCCCTGTGGGGCCACGAAGCGTGTGATGGGTGTGCTAAAATGGGTGCGGCGGCCGCATGCGAACGCTAGCACGTGGGCCTTCGGTGGGGCTCCCTATGGAGCCACGAAGCGTGTGAGGGGTGTGCCAAAATGGGTGCGGTAGCCGCGTGCAACCGCTGGCATTTGGGCCTTTGGTGGGGCTCCCGGTGGGGCCAGGAAACGTGTGAGGGGTGTGCCAAAGTTGGTTCGGTGGCCGCATGCGAACGCTGGCATTTGGGCCTTCGGTGGGGGTTCCTGAGGGGCCACGAAAAGTCTGAGAGGTGTGTCAAAATGGGTGCGGTGGCCGCATGCGAACGCTGGTATTTGGGCCTTTGGTGGGGCTCCCTGTGGAGCCACGAAACGTGTGAGGGGTGCGCCAAAATGGGTGCGGTGGCCGCATGCGAACGCTGACACTTGGGCCTTCGGTGGGGCTCCCTATGGGGCCACGAAGCGTGTGAGGGGTGTGCCAACATGGTTGACTGGTTCGGAGGGCAGAGGCAAGAATCGGAGGAGGATGGGGAGGGAGAAGGAGGAGAGGAGAAAAGTAGGAGAACGCGGGGCGCTGTCTCTTCAAAACGAGGACCCAACACCACAGGATGGTTGGGAAAACGAGTATGCGCGGCGCTAAGGCGAGAGCCACATTTTGAAAGCCACCCGCCCTTAATCCGTGAAGCTCTAGCAAATTTGATCAAGACTGTGCGCGGCGCTGAGGCGAGAACCACATTTTGAGAACCACCCGCCCTCAATCCGTGAAGCTCTTGCACTTTTTAAACGAATATGCGCGGCGCTAAAGCGAGAGCCACATTTTGAAAACCACCCGCCCTCAATCCGTGAAACTCTTGCAAATTTTATCAAGAAGATGCGCGGCGCTAGGGCGAGAACCACATTTCGAAAACTACCCGCCCTCAACCCGTAAAACTCTTGCAATTTCTATCAAGAATGTGCGCGGCGCTGAGGCGAGAGCCACATTTTGAAAACGACCCGACCTCCAACTGTGAGCCTGTTCTCAAACATTAAGCCTCAAGGTCATAAATGGTGAAGTCTCAAGCGAAACGCCGGGCCCGCCTTAAAAACTGGCCTCGGGGTGCGACAGGGAGGAGGAGGAGGAGGAGGAGGAGGAGGAGGAGGAGGAGGGGAGGAGGAGGAGGGAGGAGGAGAGGAGGAGAGGAGGAGGACGATGATGATGATGAGGAGGAGGAGGAGGAAGAGGAGGAGGAGGAGGAGGGAGGAGGAGGAGGCCTGGAGCACTCCATGCCAAGCGGGTGGTGGGGGGGCCCAGCTGGGGGACGGGGGGAGACCCGAGAGGGAAAAAGGTGAGGTCGAGGGTGGGGGAGGGGGAGGAACGGGGGGGGGGGAGGGGAGGCGGGGGGGGGGAGGACGGGGAGGGGGGGAGGGGGGAGGGAACGGGAGGGGGGAGGGAACGGGAGGGACGAGGGAACGGGGAGGGGGAAGGAGGAGGCACAGGGGGCTCTGAAGGCCCGAGGGCGGCTCGAGCTGCGTCCGAGCCGAAATGATACGAACGAGGGAGGAAGGTCGTCGAAAGCCGAGGTCCTTTGCTCGGTGGGTGGGGGGTGCGTCTTTCTCCTCCGCCCCCGCCCCACCCCCACCGCCTACGCCCGCTTCCTCTTCGTACCTCGGGAATGAAGATGAACATGCTTATGATGATGATGCTGCTGCTGATGATGATGCTGCTGCTGCTGCTGATGATGATGATGATGATGGTACTGATGATGATGCTGCTGTTGATGATGATAACGATGACGATGATGACGATGAGCATGATGATGATGATGATGATGATGATGATGATGATGATGATGATGATGATGATTATGTTGCTGATGGTGATGATGAGGATGATGATAATGCTGATGACGAGTATGATGATGCTGATGATGATGATGATGATGATGATGATGATGATGCTGCTGACTCTGATTATGCTGATGCTGATGTTGTTGATGATGGTGATGAGGAGTGGGAAACACCTACGAGACGGAGAAGGGCGGACGAGTCGTCTTCCTCCCTTGCCTTTGCACTGGCATCAAGCGACGCCTCTTGTGTCTGGATTAGCGTGGAAGACGAAGAAGCACGGAACATTCAAAGCCATGCGGTGAACAGAACGGCAGAGAGCATCAAGAAACTGTGATTTCACACGGCTGGACTAACGTGTGGAGGCCACTTGCTGGACACACATAAGGAGGACTAGCGCACACACCTGGCCATGCGAAGGCTGGGCGCTGGAAAGACATGCGGCCACATGTGTATCCAGCTTTCCGGTAGAAGAGCGAATGGCGCAAGGATTCTCCTCCTCTTCCTCATCCTCCCTCGAGGGGGCGGTAAATCGCGGGTGAAGGAGAGGATCTGGTCTTTCTGGTCAGCCAGCCGAGGAAGGACACATGAGGGGAGGGAAGGGGATGAGGAGAGGGAGAGAGCGAGGGATGATGTAGACGCAGGAAGAGGGGGGAGCAGGGAGGACGGAGAGGAAGAGGGCGGTGAGGAGCGGGGAGAAGGGAGGGTGGAGAAAGATCAACGTCTCCCTCTACACTCATGCTGCCCGCACCCGGCTTGGACCCTCCCCCCCCAATGCCGAGGCCACCTGCTGCTCAGGGCGCGGGGATGTCCTCGGGACGGGCATCGTTTTCGGCTGGGCTGAAATCGCGAATGCTGCCTCATCATGTCAACCCGGCCTCCGGGCACGCTAGATTGCCAGTTGGATAGCCGGTCGATCGCATCCGCTCGCGCACCCTCAGGACCATCAGGCATGTGGTCTTTACCCTTTCCCCAGCAGCTCCTTTCCGGGGGCCCCAGATCGCGGGCGTGAGGGAGTGGCCCAGCTGGACGGCGGCACGGCTTCCTTACCCTCCTCCTTCCCTGCTCAGCCTTCGGGGGCGGCCGAGAGGAGGGCGTCCAAGAGGGGGGGCGCAATTCATGGCCGGCGGCATGTGCGCGGCACAGCGGGGGGGGCCAGGGACGTCTTGAAATAAGAAAAGGCGCCATGAAACCTGGGGAGACACCATGCCCACCGCCATGATATCCACACCCCCCTGGTCATCACCCCCCTCTTTGCCGCCCCCGAAGCCCACGACACCCCTTGTTTAGCCCCAAGCTGGGAAAGGATGAACCCGCGAAGGCCCTGACTCGCCAACACACTGTCCAACATGGCCTCGGATCTGCCGCATGCTGCTCCCCGACCACACACCGCAACCCAAGGGGGAGGAGGAGGAGGAGGAGGAGGAGGAGGAGGAGGAGGAGGAGGAGGAGGAGGAGGAGGAGGAGGAGGAGGAGGAGGGGAGGAGGAGGAGGGGAGGAGGAGGAGGAGGAGGAGGAGGAGGAGGAGGAGGAGGAGGAGGAGGAGGAGGAGGAGGAGGAGGAGAGGAGGGAGGAGGAGGAGGAGGAGGAGGAGGAGGAGGAGGAGGAGGAGGAGGAGGAGGAGGAGGAGGAGGATGAGGAGGATGAGGAGAGCAAGGAGGAGGAGGAGGAGGAGGAGGAGGAGGAGGAGGAGGAGGAGGAGTGGGAGGAGGAGGAGGAGGAGGAGGAGGAGGAGGCCTCACCGCCTTCAACACTTTTTTAAAGTATCCCGATGCGGCATCCAAGAAGCTGCCCGCGATGCCATGGCATGGCCAAGAAACATGGACGCACTTAGAAGGCATTCGTGCGTCTTGCTTTCCATGACTGCCTGACGGGGTCTGTCTTGGGAGGGTCCGAACCCCCTCCAAGAAGGTCCATCGAGTCGAAAGGCGCGAAAATGGTCCGAGACGGTCCCCTAGACGGCCCCAAGAGACCACCACGACGGCCGAAGCGGGCGTACAAGCCGTGAAGATAAGCCTTGCATGCAGCGGGTGCACCATAACGGCATCTACTTACCTTGCATGGAACATGCACACTTCGTATCCACACGCATTCTGTAATCACGGGATCTTTACTCTGGGGGCATGCGGAAATCCACGTCTATATTCACACCGTAAGGAACTGGCGCACCCGCAACAGCATGACAAGCGTCCCACCTGCCTATTTACAGGTTGAGCATCAGGAGGTCCAGTACATGTTCAGATATTCAATGGCTCTGAGAGACGTGTACATCTGTAACGAGCAAGGGGAGGATAAACTTATAATCATAATCACGATCAGGAGGGGCAAGCAGGACGACCGAGAGAAGCAGGGCGAACGGGAAGGGTTGGAGGAAGCAGATCGGGGGGATCAGGATGAACATAAGAACGAGCAGGAAGAGAAAGCAATTGGGTAGAGGGAGGCACGGGACAATTTGGTGAGGCTGAGTGGAAGAGGATGAATTGGCCAAAGAGACGGTGGGAATCTGCCCCGACAGGGCAGAACGGGAAAACCCCAGCCAGGGCCTGGGGGCGTGTAAGGTCATGCTATCTCTCGAGGCCTCCTAGATGGGGTCCGAGTAGATGGGGTCGGAGGATCTCGCCGCATCGCCAATACATCGGTGATGCATCGCCGATGCATCGGCGATGCACTGGCGACGTCAGCGATGACTCGGCGACGTGGGCATGGAGAAACTTGGGCCCCACATCGAGCCGCAGCGGCGATGCATCGCCGATGCATCGGCGATTCGGCGCGATCCTCCGACCCCATCTACTCCGACCCCATCTTGGAAGCATAGAGTCTCGGCGGCTGGCGCTCCTCGATGTTCCGGAGGAGCTCGTCCTCGTCGTCTTGACCTGCAGGGCGATCCATCAGCTGAACACTTGAGGATTGACAGACCTTCCTCTAGCAAAATGCCCTTTCCTTTAGCGCAAGCTGCTGGAGCACTTCACGGGTGCGCGCGGCACCAGATTCCGAGTGCACCCAGGCGGAATCACTAATCGGCGTTCGGAAACGACCGAACGTACCAAGCGAAACGCACGTCGATCAGCGAAACCGACCAGGGACTGCACCAACACATTCGATTGCCAACATCGAATGAGCCCCTGGGTGGGCGTTCTCTGAATGCCCGAAACGATGAGCTTGGCCACTAGATGAGAACTCATGGCCGGCGGCTGACCCTCGGTGGAGCCGTGGTCGGTCGTCTGTGCCGCCTTCAGATATCAGCGCCTTCGCGGCGACATGACTCCAGAGACCTCCTCGTCAACCTCAACCCTCCAAAGAAGCACACGCGACGGCCCAGAGTCCCCACTGTTACGTGTATAACCAGACACCGCCGATTTCAAGCACGACCACGATCTGAGTGCGCATGTCGATGCAAACGTTGATGTCATGAGTTATCTGGCTGGGCAGGCATGCGAGGCAAGCGTGATCGTGATCGGGCGCGCTACAAGAGCGTCTCGCACACTCATCAATCCGCATCCGCCAATTCCCTCTCGCCTCGCCGTCCTCCCCGCCTGCCTTTCCTCCGCCGTCTCTTACTCCCGATCCTGCTCCTGCTCCTGCTCCTCCGTCTCCTTGTCGTCTGGGAACTATGGAAGCAAGACGATGCTCACACACTAGCGCGCGACCCTCCAATGCGCGACTGCTTTTCACTGTCTAGAGGCGTGGAAAGGGGGAGCCAGAATAGCCGACGGCCCCTGCCTGTGGAGGCGTCCAGCAAAGTCTGGGCGTCGTATGTCAAGACCTCGTCATGCGAGCGCGGGGGAGGAAGGGAAGGAAGAAGAACCCGCACGTGTACCAACGCTGAGATAGGAATATGATAAACTTCCTGTACGGGTGCCACGACATGGTGTGTATATATATATATATATGTATTTGTAAATACACATATAGCTATTTATATGTATGCCGATGTGTATCCTTACACATGTATGCATATATATATATATATGCATTTTGTTATACATTCATATTGTGTGGGTGTGTATGCTTGTATATGTGTGTATCTGTGTATTTGTATGTATAGATGTATATATACAACACACACTATATGGGTATATACATGTATACACATGCCTCTAGGGTTGGAACAAGTCCGCCGCAAGTCAAACACAGTGATGCGCAGTGGCTGGTGCCTGCACGCGGGCACATCCATGGGCCAAGCTGTAAGGCCCCTTACGGAGCGCCGGGCCGAAACGGATGTCAGACACACAAGCTGGCACTAGCGCTTAGCACACCCGATGGCCCTACCGGCCGCAGTTGTAGCTTGGCCAACTGCCGAGGCATGTGAATGGCCAACGCGCCTGGCATTCCGTCGCTGCTCGCTGTCTGTATCATCGAGCTTGGCACAATCGTCCGTGGAGATGCGAATGAACTTGTGAGGGGCCATACGCATGGCGTCCCATCACCGTGTGCGCCGACAATCACAAAAATGGACCAACGAACGCAAACGAGACCAGAAATCCGTGCCACAGACTTGGCACACACCGTAGGCTAAACAAAAGCCCGCTTGGGAGCCCCAGCTCCATGCTTGGTACGGACATGGGAACGCGGAGCCCAGCTCGAGGCAAAGGCTGACTGACAGCGATCACACATAAACGCGAGGACCTGCGAAGAAGTATCATGGGCTACTTCAGCTCCGAGAGCGTACGTCGATTTCACAAAACAAGAACAATTAACGGCGCTGGACCACTAAGCAGGAGACTCAACAATGGAATCAACACAGGGGGCAAAGAAAGTGCTGGGGTCGGGAAGCCCCAAACACAGCGCGGAGATTAGCCACAAGCATTGGAGGTCTCCCAGAAACAATCGGGTCCAGGGGAGAGGAGGCTGAGACGGAGGAGGGGCAAGGAGGAAATGGAGCTCGGTGGGGCTTTGTCAGACCAGCCTTCTGAAATACAGGAGGCGCTTGCAACGAAGAATGCCATCGATGGAAGGAACCTTGAAAGTCACTTGCAATTCAATATCGGGAGTCGAATGTTCAAAGGGGCACTTGCCGGCGAGCAGCCAGGACCAGCCGTGCATGTGCACATTTGGAACATGTGGGGGAACACGAGCGAACGCATCAATCTCCACTGCTCGTGCCAATCGAGCATTGGATTGCCGTGAGCCCGTGCTGCGAGAGGAGTGTACCTCTTGGACGCAACGACTGACCGGTCACGGGCTTGGATCACGTTGTTGCCGCCGATCTCCGCCACTCTCCCTTGGTGCTTGTACTGGTACACAACCGTCACAAACCAATCGGCCTCACGGACGCGAGCGATCATGGTGCCGTTCGGCCCGACGCTCCAAGACTGGCAGTGCCTGGCAGCCGCATTGCCATGTAGACGATGCTGCACTCCATCTCGCCGGGTTTGAAGTTGATCTCGAACTGCAGCAGGCTCAAGGCCCCATGCAAATAGATGGTGGGCTTGTCGATGGACCTGTCGAGAAGAGCGCTGGTTTTCGCACATGAGAACCAGCACTCATCATCCACGATGTCACCGTGCCCTAGGGCTTGAATTGGAGTGTCCTCAGGTCCCCATCAAGGTCTCTGTGCTGAATTCGGTGAATCTTAAAAAAAAAGGCCGAAGGCCCACGCGCGCTCCCGGGGCGGTCGCATGGTTTTTCCGAAATCCAGGGGGCCTCAAGACGGGCCAGACGGGCCACAAGAAACGCCCACGAGGGCCCGAGAAACCTCCAAGACCGCCCAAGCTCGCTCCAGGATGGCCCCTCGACGGCCCCAAGAGCCCCCAAGACGCCCCCAAACGGCTGCAAGAGGTCCCGAAAACGGCCTGGATATGCCCAATATCATTGATGATCTGTAAATTTGGGAGAAATTTGAAGGTTCTCGCATGGTCAGGCTTTCGACGCTCCAAGAGGGCCCAAGGGGTCCCCAAGATTGCCCCAGGGCGGCCTAAGAGGCCGCCAAGAGCGCTCCTAGACGGCCCAAGATGACTTAAAGACGACCCAATCGGCCCGTGAGACGGCACTACAGGGCTCCAAGGGGCCCGAAATATGCCCAGATGGGGCACGCGAACTGACATGTCAAGGCTGTCGCCCGAAGATGGCTCCGAGACTGCCAGCAGGCCCCCAAGAGGCGCCCCACGAGCTTCAGGAGGCCCCCCAGAGGCCCCAAATCAGGCCCCAAGAGGCCCCCAAGACATTCCAAAAAGTAAATCCAAGAGGATTTCGATTGGCCTCCCAAGAGATTCTCACAAACATCCCATAGGCCTCTGACCTACAATCCAGGCGCGGTGGCGTGATGGGCCGAAGGCTACTATATATGTATATGTGTATGTGTATGTATATGTTTATGTACATGTATACTGGCATGTAAAGGTACATGTCTATTTATATGTACATGTACATGCGATGTACATGTATATGAATATGTATATGTATATGTATGTGTATAAGTGTATGTGTATGTTTATGTATATATATACATATAGATATATGTTACTCGTGCTCCGAGGGGGGCGACGTCACCGAATGCCTAGGCGTGAAGTGTGAAATCTACATCCTGGATGGCTTTCCACCTCTTTAACAGGTTGGCTCACGGATCTCCTTCTACAATGCTTATCAAAGCTGCCCTCCTGGAGGCCATATGTATATGTAGATGCACTTGCATATGAATGTATATAAGTATGTAAGTATGTAAATATGTGTGCATGTACGTATGTATGCATGTCTGTATGTATGTGTGTATGCAGGTAGGTGTGTATGTATATATATATATATATATATATATATATATATATGTCTGTATGCATGTATGAGTGAACGTATGTATATATGAGAGAACGCGTTTCACGGGCGCTTGCCTTAGGAACATTCGGCGGCGCGTTTCAAACCGGGGGGTGGGCCCCCCCCCAACACTCGGCGCCGTCGATCAAAACCACACCTCCCCTCCCCCCCAAACCCCCCCCCTCCCGAACCTCCCCCCCCTCCAAGGGGAGGGGGTTTCAAAACCCCCCACTCCCCCCCCCTCGGCGCCGGCACCGGCGCTGGCGGCCGCCAGCAGCGCCCACGGCGGGGACGCAGCGACGATGACCAGAGGCAGCCCAGGGGAGGGGGGGGGTTCAAACACTCCCCCCCTCCCTCCTCGGCGCTGGCGCTGGCGGCGGTCAGCAGCGCTGGCGCTGGCGCCAGCGACGGATTACCACCACTACCACCACCAACACCACTACCACCACCACCACCGCCTCAACCCACCACCACCACCACCACCACCACCACCACAGCCACCACCACCACAACCAACATCGCAACTCGCCATCACCACAACCACCACAAAAAACCACCACCACTACCACCACCACCAAAATGTACCACACCACCACCACCGCCACAACCACCACCACTACCAGCAGCACAACCCACTGCCACCACCACAAACCATCACAAACCACCACAAATCACCACCGCCGTCACCACCACCATAACAAACGTCCACAAACCACCGCCACCACCACAACCCACCACCACCACCACCACCACCACAAACCACCACCACACCGCCACAACCACCACCACCACAACTCCCCATCACCACCACCACCACAAAAACCCACCACCACAACCACCACCACCACCACAATCTACTACACCACCACCACCACCGCCACAACCACCACCACTACCAGCAGCACAACCCACCACCACCACCACCACAAACCACCAAACCACCACCACCACAAGCAAAACCTTCACAAACCACCGCCACAACCACAACCCACCACCACCACAACCACCACCACCACAAACCGCCACCACATTACCACCAAACCACCACCACCACCACAACCCACCACCACCACCACCACAAATCACCACCACGCCACCACTAAACCACCACCACCACCACCCACCGTCACAACCACCACCACCACAACAAACCACCATACCACCACCAAAACCACCACCACCGCCACCACCACCACCACAACCCACCACCACCACCACCACCACCACCACCACCACCAACCACCACCACCACCCGGCGTCCTCGTCGACGCTCCCCGCCACCGCCGCCCGCCGCCGCAGGCGCCGGCGCCGGCTTAGAAATGGAAATCGTCGTCCCCGCCGCCGTCGCCAGCCGCCGCCGACCCAAGCGCAGCTCCGGCCCGAGGAGACGGGAAGCAGGGGGGGTGTGTTCGAACCCCCCCCTCTCCGTCACGAGGGGGTGGGGGGTCCAGTTCCAACCCCCCCCCTCCAAGCGACTACAGAACGCGCTCTTTCGTATGTATGTCTAGTTATGCATACATACAGATGGGTATTATGTGCAGCCACCCCTAGCACCCAATTTTGCAAGCATTCACTTACGACGGTGGTACTCTTCCTTTCCTCTTCCTCCTCGTCTTTTTTACCTCTCTCTCTCTGGCGGTCTCTGTCTGTCTGTCTGTCTCTCTCTCTCTCTCTCTTTTTTCTTCTCTCTCTCTCTCTCTCTCCCCCCTCCCTCGCTGGTCGACTTCCCAAACCGTCAACTGTTTTCCTCAACTCCGAAGGTGGTGTAGCGCGCGCTCTGCCAGAGGACGGAGGACCGCGGCTTGAACGGACCTGCCTACAAACACGTCGGCTCACCAACCCCTACGTTTTCATGTGGATTTTTCCCCACATCCAAAGTGGGGTTCTTGTTTTCTCTGGACACCCCGCGCAGGAACAGGAACACACACACACACACACCCACTCACACTCACTCACACTCTCTCATCATCAACCTCATCAGCATATCGATGATGCTCTCTCACATGCTTAGTCACC